AAAGAGCAAGTTTAGATAACTCTCTCCAGAAAGCTGGCTCTCCAGGGAAATAAGCAGGGAGCGGCCGGGTATATTTTTCCTGCTGGAAATTTTTGTTTTAGGATGGGAGGTTTGGGGACACATTTGTGTGCCAGTGAGGATAGCCCATCCAAAGAGAGGAGGAGAATTAAGGTGGGCGGAAGAATGACTGAGGTGGTATTTCTAATAGGTGAAGGAGCAGGATACAGTGGTGGTATTGTGGATTTCATCCAGGAGGATAAAATGCCTGCCCTGATCGGTAAGTCTTTGGTAAATCTAGGGGTGTCCCACCAACACCAGCTCATTATTTCTCCCTGTCCAGCTTTGTAGGCTGTGGCTTTGAAGCCGACCGGACTCCTCTCTAGAACCTAGGGCTCTCCCTTTAAGCAGAGAGAAGGTTCTCAGCCTCAGGAAGGGCTGGAAACAGCTTTAAAAAGCACATTCTTTGGTGGTTAAAAATATGTGGGGTTTGTGTGCATGTGTGTGTAAGACTTAAACTTTGGTAGGAAATGGTTGTGGTATTTTTCTTTAAATGAAAAGAGACCATTGTGATCTGAACTTTGGAAAATATACAGCATCCCGGTGCTGTTCTCCAGGGCTTGGCTCTCCTGAGTTACTTGAGGGCAACCTCAGCATACCCAACCCCTCCCCATCAGGAATCCTGGGCCGGAAGAGCTTATTGTTGCCCGCATCAGCCTCTACCCCTGACCAGATCCACAGTTTGCAGGGCCCAGTACAAAATGAAAACGTTTGCCTACAGCTCAAAAATGAAGTATTTCAAGGTGGCGGTACAAAGCTTTCAAAGTTAGGTGGCCTGCAGAGCCAGGGTCCCTATGTGCCTGATCAAGACGATGACCCAGCCTCCTGTGGACCATTCTCAGTCAGCTGGCTAAGCTAGAGTTTTTGGAGTACCTCTCCTAGGTGTAGACTCTCGGAGCCCAGATGATGTAGGGCAGACTCAAGGCGTCTACCATCTTGGGTGTGTGCATACCGCAGCTGGCAACAATTTCCTGGCCTGGCTCTTTGCTCCAGTTCCCACCTCCCCCTCACATTTCCTTGGTCATGAAAACTTTCTGGTTTAATCTGGGCTTGCTTGTAACCTGAGGGTCTGGGGACCTCGGCTGCACAGCTGTGTGGAGTGCCGGGCCACTTGGCGCGCCCTGAGCTGTTTACAGGCCTCCTCCTCATAGGGCCTACTGTAAATAGAAAAGTACAAACACATGCTGGGCATGCAGCAGATTAAAACTGTCTGCCGCTTTCCCTGGATCTTAACACATAGCAGTTTGTGTTTATGGAGCATGGATTTCCCTGCCTGCTACTTACGGAGTTAAAGCGTGCTTTGCTAAGCAAGGCCTGACCGTGTGGGCTTTCCAGAGCATTGGGAGGCACCATGTTGAGACTTCCGGAGCGTATTCTCAGGGTCAGGCTGACCTCAGCTGCCCAGACCGGAGCTGTGCTTTGCAATACAGTGGCAACAAGCCACTCGTGTGGCTCTTGAGATGTGGCTGGTCTTCTTGAGCAGTGTTGTTCATGTAGAATGTACAGTGGCCTTTGCTGGTTCAGTACAGCGACAAAAAAAAAAAAAATCACATGTTCTTCTTTCTTTTCTTTCTTTCTTTTTTTACTTTGGTTACATGTTAAAATGATAGCATTTCTTATAAAATGGCTCAAATAGAAGATACTAGAGTTAATTTATCATTTTTCTTTTATCTATTTTTTCATATTTCTTCTATTTTGAATGTAGCTACTAGAAAAGTCTTTTATATATGCAGATATGTATATCATATATTTGTGGCTTATATCTCATTTCTCTTGGCTAACAAGCACTCCAAATCTCTCCCTGTACTTTCCTTGCTGGGCCTATGTAGGACACATGCATACATATAAGAACACATACCCATATACCACACACACTCCTGGGAACCTTGAACGGTAAGCCAGGCCAGTGAGATTATATGACAATCCCCAGATGCTACGTTTTCCAGGAAGCCTCCTCAGAATACTGCAGAGGCCCCTCTAGGAGGCTTTGTTTGGTCAACGGGAAGCAATCTGCCACATTGGTTTTACTATGGAACATCTGGTGGTTTCCAGGCAATGAGACGTAGTGATACAGAGTACAAGCTTCACTCTTGGATTCTAGGCCTGGTCCTAGAATGTGTTCCTGAGTAGGTGACGTAAACTCTCCACACCTGGGTCTTCTTATCTGGAAAATGGGAATCATGACACGCAGGTGCAGAGGCAGGTTGGGGGTCCCATCTCTTGTAGCACAAGCTTGCTCCTTGTTCAATGGACAAGACACGGAACGCCTTTAGCATGGAGGGATGGCATCGTTGTAAGCCTAGCATAGAGGCAGGGCTACCATAGAGATTGGACTGCCACAGAGTTCACTGGCCTCTGAGAGAGGAAGGGGAAGACCCTGGAAAGGGAAGAAGAGGGACGGGGATCCCAGGGAGCCCCAAAGCAGAGAGGCCCTACGACAATGCTGCTAACAGCTGGAATCTAGACAGTCAGCATGGCCAGGCCGGGTTGAGGGCTGGAACTGGGATGGGAACAGGAAGACATGTAAGACAAGGACAAATGCACTCAGTGTTCCTTTCTAGAGCTTCCCCCTCCTGGGGCCCGCCATGACACACGGTCAGGCAGTGTCCCACCCTAACTTACTCTCTCTTGTCTAAAACAGTGCTTTTCAGACTGGGCATTGGCCCAAGAAACTCCACTTCGTGTGCAGCTTTTGACTCCGTTTTGAGGATGGAGGATGATGCCGTACCTTGGTAGTCACGTGAGCGGCACCATCTGTTGGAGCCAATCACATGATTGAGACTGATGAATGACTTGTTCTTGGGTGCCACCCTCTAATAAATTGAAACCGCAGGAGCAAATGGCATATTAAAATCATGTCAAGAAAACCAGATTGGAAAAGGTGCAGCTCCCTTGAAGGACCCCCAAAAGAGGAGGACCCTTAACACAACAATAGCAATGCCCCCTCTCCCCCCGTCAGCTGGTCGCCTGGTCACCCGGCTTGTGCAGAAGGTGTGTCAAAGGACCGAAAGACAGAACCCCCAACTGTTCCCTGGGCTTCCGTTTGGGGTGGTCCCCACTGGTGATGCAGCCTACTTAAATTGTCATCTGCCTGTCTTCCTGTTTGTCTATCAGGGTCTTCCGTCTGTCCATCTATCTTGACCTGGTCCTGCCCTTTGCCCCACTGGTCTCCATGGTCCTGCAGTGCCTCAGCATTTAGACTCCTTTCCCGGAACTCTGCTCAAATTCCAGTCATGACTCTAGCAGACCTCCCACCTTGGTTCATATCCTTACCCCTATGGAGACTCTTTTTTGGTGGTTGGTTGGTTGGTTTTGTTGTTGTTATTTCTTCATGACAGGGTTCCTCTGCAGCTGTGGCTGTCCTGGAACTCACTCTGTAGACCAGGCTGGCCTCGAACTCACAGAGATCCGCCTACCTCTAACTCCCCAATGCTGGTATGAAAGGCGTGCGCCACCACTGCCAGGCCTATGGAGACTCTTTTTGCTGTTTCCATGCCTCTCTGGTCCCTTTTGAAATCGTTTGAACTCTTCTATGCCCCCCCCCCTTTTTTTCCTCTTCACTCTGTGTGTGTGCGTGATGTATGATCTGAGAGTTAATATTAGCAGTTAAGATTGTAGTAAAAGAGCCGGTGTTTGCCTTGGCCAGAGCTATCAAGGAAAGAGAGACTACTTGCTAGAGGGCTGCCAGTGAAACAGCTGTACCTTGTGGATTTCTTATTATTCAACAAATTCTGACGTCCTGGAAGGACACACATGCATTCATCTCTGTTTCTGACACAGCACACTTATGGCATCAAGGCTGGTCGAGGGAACCCGACCACAGTCCAAACCCTATGTTGGAGGTAGGCCAGAAGATACTAGAAGCGTTGGGCCATTTTCTTCTTGCAGTCCTGCCCCCATAAAGTAATGGCCTCATGGTAATGTTTGCTGATAAAACAAACAGATCCGTAAATTTCCCTGGCTGAACACCACAGAGGCTAATTCTCACTCAACTGTCTAAACTGTCTGATGTGGGTGGGGCTCCTGGCGGGGAGGAGGCTGGCCATCCATGTGTCGACTCGGGGGCCCAGGCTCCTGAACTTATGGCCTCAGAGTCTTCTGCATCCAGTAGGCCAACTGGAGAGGGGAGGTAGGAGATACATGCTCAACTCACCTCACTTGGCCTGGATGAGGTTATGTTCCCTCAGTGAAGACTTCGCTCACAGCTCCACCTCCATGCTTTTGGCCTCTCCATTCTGCACACAGAGCTGAGCCCAGGGCCCGGCACACTTCCTCCCCAGCAGGCCTCTTAGCTCTTTTTGTTTGTTTGTTTCGAGACGGGGTTTCTCTGTGTAGCCCTGGCTGTCCTGGAACTCCCTCTGTAGACCAGGCTGGCCTCACACTCAGAGAGATCTGCCTGCCTCTGTCTCCTGAGTGCTGGGATTAAAGGCGTGTGCCACCACTGCCCGGGCACTCTTAGCTCTTCTTTAAGCTCCTTGCTAGTTATTTATTGGTCCTAGGCCGGACTGTAAGAGGACTTCCCACAGTGGCACAGAGGAGAACCCATGGATGCTCCTGAGGGAAAATGAATGGCATAGGTCGACACTCTCAAGGAGCTGGTATACACACCAGAGTCTCGAAACTTTAATCATCCTGAGTACGTCCCAACCTTCTTTCTCCTAAGAGACCCTGGGATCTACCTAGATGTAGCATAGGCAGGACAAATCGGAGCTGAAGGCGAGTCCAGAAAGGCTTCCTGAGCGCCCTTGCCTGGGCCACAGACAGCTCAGAGACACATCATAGCACCCCTTCAGGCTGCTCTCCCCTGGGCCTGGTTATCTGTGCCTAGTAACTGTGCTGGTCAAATCCAAAGTCGCCATCAGTCAGGGCTGGATCAAAGGAAGAGGCGTGGGTGGGGTTCAGGCATGTCACGACCCGCTCTCACCCGGATCCTGTACCTCCAGCCAGGGCTTCTGATGCACCTGCAGACAAAAAGAAGAATTCGAAGAATAACCAGGCTGCCGGACGTCGGGTGCTCATGAGTTTATAACAAGATGACCAGACACCCCATGAGGAGACTATCAGGCCTCTGAGAGAGGAGACGCAAAGGATGGATGCCAGGGGGGCTGTCATGGGTGAGTCACTCCTTTTCTCTGGGGCAATCAGAGGAGGCGTCCTAGAACTTAGAACTTGCAGGAAGGGGTGGGGAGCTCAGGAAGAAAGGCTCTCTTTGGCGTTCCCACTTGTTTCTACGTGTGTGGTACTTTATCATTCCAAAGCCAGCGAGACAGGTGAAGCAGAGAAGACAACAGTCGCCTCCATTTTTTTTTTTCAGAGAGAAGAGACACAAGCCCAGAGAGGCTGCGCTCCTTGCTCAAGGTTGCACAGGAGTTGGTAAGAACACAGATATCCTGCCTACCAGTGTTTTTGTTCTTGGGTAAGTTTGACAAATGTGTCTCTCCCTCAGGGGCTGGTCAGGGTAGATCCCCAGGTAGGGTGAGAAGGCCCTGAACAAGGCACAGACTCTCCCTGGAGGGCATTCTGAGTCTGGGTGCTCAGCCTCCTTTTAAGAACATGTGTTTCCTGTTTTCTTTCTTCCACCGGCTCAGGACAGAATAGGGTTTTCCTGAGCGGAAGAGCCCTGAAGCCCTGGTTCAGTCCAGTCAGCTCTAAATGGTCTGGGGCTCCCAGCTCTGATCCCTCTGGAGGCTGAGTCCACGCCCCCAAGTCAGAGATGCTCAGACCATTATTGCTCCTAACTTCACCCCCCCAGATCTCGAACCCAGGGTCTTGACTCCCAGCTGATACTTTTGGAGTCTCCTTTGCACATTAACGAAGGTCTTAGAATTGGTGTTGCCCTGGAATAGAGAAGCCAAGGGAGAGTGAGACCGTAACTAGCCTAAGACCCGGGGTGGTCAGCGGCTTCACACCTCCCCCATGTCTGCCTCACTGTTCTCATTCATCCTGAGTGGAGGCTGAGGGCAGGCCCCACCCCAGTCTTCTGGACAGCACCCTGTGGAGTTGGTAAGGTCCAGGCCATAATGGTTATGATATAGAGTTTGTAGATGCTAACTGAACATCTTTTTCTACTGTCCGGCTCAGGGTTGTCTTTTCTTAGAATATATCTTCATCAGTCCAGGGAGATACACTAGACCTGGCTTCAATCCCTGGGACCCATATGGTGGAAGGAGAGAACCAACTCCTGAAAGTTCCCTTCTGACTTGCACATGTGCACTGAGATGCACACACACACACACACACACACACACACACACACACACACACACAACCTACCCACACTTTATAATATATATGTATATATAAATAAATGTAATGAAAAAATAAAAAGGATATACCTTAGTCTGTTTTTTCCTTTTTTAAGATTTATTTTCCCCGGGCGGCGCCAGTAGCACACGCCTTTAATCCCAGCACTCGGGAGGCAGAGCCAGGCAGATCTCTGTGAGGTCAAGACCAGCCTGGTCTACAGAGTGAGATCCAGGACAGGCACCAAAACTACACAGAGAAACCCTGTCTCCAAACAAACAAACAAACAAAAGATTTATTTTCATTTTTAATTGTGTGCACAAATATATGTGAGTGTGTGGCGGTGTGCATGTGTGGGGGCAGGTGTCTGCAGAGTCCAGAAGAGCGTATAGATCCCTAGGAACTGGCTAGAGTCACACGTGCCGTGATCGACCCTATGTGGATGCTGGAAACTGAACTTGTGTTCTCCACAAGAACAATACCCCTGCTCATAACCACCGAACCATCTCTCCAGCCCCAGCTTGGTTTGTTTTGTGTTACTATCACAAAAAGACCTGAGGCGGGATGCATGATAAAGAAATGGGGTTTTATTTCGCTTACAGTTTGGGAGGCTCAGACGCTGCGATCCGGTCAGAGTGTTCTGTGACAACATGGCGGACGGCGTCACACAGTGGGGGCAGGAGCATGGTGGCGAGTGCTGCCCTCATAACTAGTTGGTTCCTATGAGGAACCAGCCCACTCTCTAGGGGTAGGCTTCCTCTGAAGGGGCTGTTCTCACGACCCAATTACTTCTCTCTTGAAGGTCCCACCGTCTTTCCAACACTGCTGCATTGGGGACCAAGTCTCTAGCATGGGTGACAGAGAATTTGTATCCCATTCACGCAAACTGGATGAAAGGAAGAGTCAGAAGAAGCATATGGAGTCTGCAGAACCGTGGAGCTCAGTACTGGTGTAAATATAAAGAAGAAAGCTAGCTCCCCACGATGGCTCCCAACCTGCATCCAGGGAACAGGAGAAAGCAGCATTCTTCTGTTCTCTGCCTGTACCACTTCCTTCCCCTCGGAGGGAATTTCCTGAAGCTCCTTGGAGAGCTGGTTCTGTGTCTTGGAATTGCTCTTAAGAGTGTAGAGTGCGGAGTGGAGAAATGGCTTGCCAGTTAGGAGCACTTGCTGCTTTCCCAAAGGATCCAAGTTTGGATCCTAGTACCCACAATCAGGCAGCTCATAGCCACCCGTCACCCTGTAAAACCATGGGACCTGATGCTCTCCTCTGGCTTCTGTGGGCACTTGCACACAAATGCAGAAATGTAGACACAACATACACATAAATAACTTTCTGCTTTAAAAAAAAAAGAGTTGTGTGTGTGTGTATGCATCTGTAGGGTGTATGCATGCATACGTGGGTGCTTGGTGTGAAGGGCTTAGGGGTGTGTGTGTGTGTGTGTGTGTGTGTGTGTGTGTGTGTGTGCGCGTGCGCGTGTGCATGCATGCATCTGTAGGGTGTATTCATGTATATGTGCGTGCTTAGTGTGAAGGGCTTAGGTGTGTGTGTGTGTGGGTGTGTGTGTGCATCTGTAGGGTGTATGCATGCATACATGGGTGCTTGCTGCAAAGGGCTTAGGGATGGGTAAATGTGTGTTTGTAAACAAATCTGCGGGTGTTCTTGGGTCCTGGGATTTTGGGAGAGGTGATATTCAGGCCCTCCACCCATGCATCGGCCTTGCACCCACAAGTGTGTGTGGGGGGATTACCACCTCTGGTGACCCGGCCTGGGGCTTTGAAGTCCTGCTTCTAAATGGGAGCTCCAGGCGCAAGCAGCCCAGAGTTATTAGGTGCAGGTTTATCTGGGGCTAATTTAACTTGTTAGGATAATTGTGCCAGAGGCTGCCGTTCTGAGGTCCCCACCTTAGTAATTACCCTTTGCCGGGTCTCTTTCATCTCTAAGGACTATGCCCCTCTGCAGAGCCGTTGCCGGCCTCTCGCCCCTCCTTCTAAGGCTCGGGGTGCACCCCCCCCCCAGCAATGCTTTCACAAGGCCTTGCGTTTTTATAAAATTGGCAGAAGTGTTATTCCAAGTACAGTCATTAAAGGGCTTTTTTTTTTACACTGTTTCTTTTTACTCTGGCTTCCCCTCCGTAACATTTACCCTTCTGTCAAATGGTACTGGAACTGGGGGCATTTGGGGGATTCAATTCACTGACTGTGAGAAACAGAAAGACTTCAAATGGGGTGATATATATGCATGTATGGTTTCATTCTAACTCTTTTAGAGTTACTGGAGAGGAATGGCTTCCTGGAAAACTCTCGGTGATGTGGTGTGAGCCTGTCCCATGGTTCTTGGTACAGGAAGCATGTGGGGAATGACAGAGAAACAAGATTGGAAATGTGCAGAGCCAGGAGCTAGTCTGAGAAAAGTTCTTTTACTCTTATAGGTCATTTATAAAATCTGATCGCGTTTACCCAAATGGGCATGGATAATTTTATGCATCAGCTGAGATACTTTGGGGTGTATCATGAGGGTGCTACCGTGAGTGATTGGCACTTAGAAGATGGCCCTCATCCAGGCAGAGGATGGTTCTGCTAAGTGCCTGAATGGAGTATAAGTCCAGAGGGAGGGCAGATTTACTCTGTCTCTGAGTGGAGGCATTCATCTCCTGCCGAGGGACTTCAGTGCTCCTGGTCCCCAGGTCCTTGGACGTGAACTGAATGATGTCACCAGCTTTCTTGTTTTTCCAGCTTGAACCTGGCAGATCGAGAGACTTCTGAGCCTCCATGGTTTCAAGATCCAATTTTTCTCCATCCCTCGCTCCTCACCACGAGACATTGGATAAAATGGAGAAAGTGCGCTAAGCATATGTTTTCATTTACTCATCACTTTCCGATTGTGAATGAGATGTGACTCTTTCTCAGAAGTGGCCTCCTCCAAGTGGTAGGGACAAAGGTTCCTTGCCTAAGGAAAGGATGACCCCTTCTGAGACAGTTGCTATACTTCTAGACCTGTAACTAGATTCAAGTCCCTATAAAGCCGGGGTACACAACGTGATGCACAGGGATGGGAACACGCTGTATGTACTTCAGAACAACGGCTTATGTTTTCTAATCAAGCAGAAATCTGAGCAATTGGGGCACATGGGTCATAGAGTTTCATCAGGCAAAATGCATTGATATGGGCTCACCAAGCCAAGAGCCTGCAGCTAATGCTCCCACTTAGCTAGTTGGGAGGAGTTCCAGCGGTCTGGTTGGTTAGTTGGTTGGCTGAAATGTGGATCAAAAGACCTAAAATGCAACAATCTCTTCTTAAGAACGATCCCTTATCCAGGGAGTAAATGGTTCAAGTAGTGACTATCCTGAGTCTTAATTTTTTACAACTTAAATACTATGGTGTAATGCCAACATTACTCAAATGCTGATACAAAGTTAGCCATCGTCTGCTACATTTGAGTGTTTCTGAGAGAGATGGGTACTGTCAGTAGACTGAGGAAGGATCTGCCCTCATCCACATGGTGAGAAACTCAGCCTTTAAGGGCTGAACAGGACAAGAGGCGGGTGAAGATGCGTTTGTTCCCTGAACGGGCATAACCAACCTTTGTCCTTGGTCATTGAGGCTCCACCCCCATCTTCAGACCTTGAGAGCAAAACTACACAGTTCACTGGTTTTGTTACAAAACATTGACTGACGTAAGACCCATCCTGTGAATTCAACACAAGCGTTTCTAAGTCTCCAACAATAAGACACAAATTTTGTCTATGTTGGAGGGATGGCTCTGCTCATCTAGAAAAGGTCAGGGGGCATGTGATCGAGCCGCCAAAGAGATGATGGAGCCAAAATGTAGGAAAGAATACTGCAAAGAGTGTGTTGGCAAGTTGATTTATGAAATTACTATTTTCCTTGTTTGTTTCTTGGGTGTATGCCATCTTTCGAAAAGGATGAGTTGACGAGATTTCTAAAACTGGAGAGGCAATTTAAACGGACCTCCACCTTTCAAGCCTAGCTGTGGTATTTGTCTTTTCGTGTTCTTTTTCTCCTTTGTAGTGGTTTTAGGCCCCCAAAGGCTTGAATATATCTTGGCAAATGTGATGGTTAGTATCAGTTGTCAACCTGACAGAATCTACAGTCACCTAGGAGACCAGCCTCGGGCACACCTGTGAGGGATTATCTGGTTTAAGATTAGCCTCTAAGAAAGAAAGTCTGCGAGGGATTGTCTTGATTATATTAATTGATGTGGAAAGAGCCATTTTCACTGTGGAAGGGACTATTCCCTGGGCGCGGATCCTGGACTGTGTAAAATGGAGATAGAGACCTGAGCACACACAGTCGTTTGCTCTCTGCTTCCTGACGGAGAATGAGACGTGGCCGACTGCTTCGAGCTCCTGCTACCTCAACTTAACCTTCTCCAAAGTGCGCCCCCCAAAATGGCAGTGCCATTGACAATGTCCTAAATCACAGTCTGGTCTCAGCTCAGGCTGGACTCTTAACAGAAGGATTGCTGGTGGATAAAATCAGCATTCCTCAGAAAATTGTGAGGCTGGTGTCTGTCTGTCAGGAAGAGCCACCACTTCCTTTATCTGCTTCTGCAGCCTGCTACCTCCAGCAATGGGGCATCTGGTTCCCCATTAACACAGACCTGTAACACGTATCGAAGTCGATAGGTCCCAAGCTGTTCCCACTTGCACACTTCCTCCCACTGTTAACCGCTCCCCATAAAACTGACAAGGTTTTCCCTACCAGTTTGCTGTTCTCTTTGCCCCCAAGAGATCGCCATGGCAGCTTGAAGTTCCTCCAATAAACCTTTCTTTCTACCCATGGAGTGGTCCAGTTCAGGGGTTTCTCAGTGCCCTTTTCTTCCCCTTGAACTGTTGAAATAGACTAAAACTTTTCCCCTTTAAGTTTTATCACAGCTCCAGGAGAAAAACAAGGCTAAGACCGTGCTGTTGACGTTTGTCTGTGAGGATGGAGGAGGTTGCCTTGAGATTTCCCCAAGGCCTTGAGTGAGGAGGCAGAGCCCAGCAGAACTTTCGGAAGGTAGAACTTTGGTGAGTTGGGATCCCAAGGTCCTTAGCTATCTGGATATGGGTCTGCTTGTGTCAATGCAGGAGAGCACCCAGAGGGGAAAGCACCTTAGCATTATGCCCACCGGACATTCCTATCAGTGAGTATTACTTTAACGTCACGACTCCTATAAGAATGTGAGCTTCATGAAAACATAAGCCATGTTGGCATAGCTCACCATGTATTCTAGAGCTCAACACAGGGCCTGGGCACACAGCTCTGCCTAGTAGACCTATGCCACCCTCCTCCCCCAGTGACCTGAATGAGTTCAGCATCCTCACCCTACCCAGCACCCATGTTTTCCAGTATTTGTGTATTTGTGGGGGGTCAAGGGGAGCAGGCTCTCTGACCTCTTTTCCATGCTTGGTTCAAGGACCCCTGCTTTGGCTGCTTTCCGCCATCACAGTCCTCCTTGACAGAGGTCCTATCCTAGAAAAGAAGTCTCTCTGTCTGTCTCTCTCTCCCTGTCTCTGTTTCTCTCTCTGTGTCTCTCTGTCAGTCTGTCTGTCTGTCTGTCTGTCTCTCTCTCTCTCTCTCTCTCTCTCTCTCTGTGTCTTACCTTGAGTTGGGTCTTCCTACGCTGTTAAGGTTGGCCCCAAACTCTCGTACATGAGCAATTTTTCTGTCTCAGCCTCTTGAGTAGTGGGACCTCCACATGCACCTCCACATGCAGCTCTGTAAATTATTTATTTGTTGGTTTGTTTGTTTGTTTTGAGGCAGGGTCTCACTATGCAGCCCTAGATAGCCTGAAACTCTCTCTGTAGACCAGGCTTGCCTCCAACTCACAAAGATTCCCCTTTGCTTCTGCCTCTCGGGCACTGGGCAGTTGGCTCTTTGTTTTTAAATGATCACACACCAGTAGTTTATTATTATTATTATTATTATTATTATTATTATTATTATTATTATTGTAAAAAAGAACTAAATTTCTAAACTCAAAGCAACTTATGTCTTATGAGTTGCAGTAAAATTTTACTAGAACAACAAAGACACTTATTTCAAAAGCTTTTTTTTTATTTTTATTTTTTTACATTTCTATAATTGTTAGGAAGAGAAGGGACATGCTAATTGATGCAGCCCAGCTCCCCCTCAGGGTCCAGTTCTAGTTCAAAGAACACTGACTGTTTCAGTGTATATGACCAGCAGGGTGGGTCCGGGTGTCGGATGAGGTTATGGAAGGTTTAAACCAAAACAGGACTCTACCACTCCTGCCAGAAAAAAATAAATAAATAAAAATAAATAAAAAACCCCAACCTCAGTCTCTACCACTCCTGCCAGAAAGAAAGAAAAAAAAATCCCAATAGATTTTTCCGTTAAGTTATTAAGGGAGGTAGCCTGTCCGCCCACCGTGGTGGTGTGGAAAGAAGACATGCACGTTAGTTTACCCCTTCCTTTTGCTGTTCTCTCAATGATGTTGGACAGCGAAGGCTTTTACAGCAGGCGTGATTTGCACACACACCCAAGATACACTCGGGGATGAGGGATGGCTCAGAAGGGTGAGCGCACACATCGCCAGTCCAACACTCACCAAGTAGCCAAGGTTTTCCTTGAGCTCTTGATCCCACTCCCAAGTGCTGCTGAGATTAGAGGTGTGTGCCGCCCCACCTGGCTTAAAATGATTCCTTTAAAAAGTTAGATTCTAATGATTTATGCTGTTAACTAAAATGATGTTTCTATTTCTCTAAGTATATATTTAATGTTGTATAATATGTTTTGGTTTGGTTTGGTTTTTTGTTTTTGTTTTTTCAAGACAGGGTTTCTTTGTGTAGCTTTGGAGCCTGTCCTGAAACTCTCTCTATAGACCAGGCTGGCCTCGAACTTATAGAGATCTGCCTGCTTCTGCCTCCCGAGTGCTGGGATTAAAGGTGTGCGCCACCACCGCCCGACTGGTCATTATTTTTTGAAGTTAAAATAAGCTAAAAGTTTCATTTCACTAATTTTGAGCTGTATTAATAATTTTATCTCTGTATTTTGGTACTCCACGTAAACAAAGTACATCATGTGTGGTCACCACAGTGTTGAAAACAACCCCCTTCTTCAGCAGAAGACACAGTCCCTGCTCAGAGGAGTGCACGTGGCTTAGCCCAGCGGTCTCCTGTAGCTCAGGATACGTGGCTGAGGAAGACAGTGAATTACTGACCTTCCTATATGTACCTCCCCGGTGCCAGGATTATACTCTTGCACTGCTGGGTCTGGTTTTCATGCAGTACTGAGATCAAACCCAAGATACTGCGCATGCAACACAAGGACTCTACCCATTGAGCTACATTCCCAGTCTGGATGCAGTTCTTTCTACACTGTTTCTAGAGCAAGTGTCCCTACCCCCACGCTGCTTCTGGTCCCTGTGACTCGGGACAACCAGCCCTGTTTCTCTCTGTCTTCCTGACTACATCCCTAATGTAGGACCTCAAGGGCAGGTCCCTCTACTCTTAAGGGTGATGAGTTATGGGGCTTAGTACCTGCTCTTCTGTCAATACCCAGGGACCTTAGAATGGGGAGAAACGGGAGCTGAGAGTCAGTTAAGTCTTCCACAAATGGGCCAGCTGCAGGTCAGGGTGGTTTCAGCTCCCTGTCCCCTGGTACCACATGCTTGCTTGTTAGTACTGAATCAGGACCATGTTCTCACCCATCTGGTTACTGTTGCAGGGAGTGAGTGAGTCCATTACTCCCTGCCCAGCCCCTGGGTGGTATCAAGTGTCACATGTGGCTTCCCAGCTTACAGGACTTTCCCAGAGTGACCCCAGAGCTAGTCCTGGTGACCCAGCAGCCCCATGGCTTCCCCCTGGATCTGACTCACTCATAAACACCCCCACCCTCTAATTCTGCAAGCAGAGGGCCCCATTCCTGGGAAGGCCCCCTGTTGCTGGCTATTCTTGTAATTAGTGACTGTTGATTGGCCCCAGAGCCACACTCATTATTCCTAGTGAAGATCAAAGCCAGGCCCAATAATCTGCTAAACAAGTTGTCAGATTAGGGCATTCTTCGGGGCTATTAGAAAGATTTTTCCCCCTGGGTAAAGGCCTGTCAGGGCATATGACCCCCATCACCGACCACAAACTGAGCTAGAGGGGACATTACGGCCTTTCTGCTCTTCTTCACTTGCTTGTGGCCATTTTATGGTCTGGTCCTATGGCAGGGACTCCAACGTGATCCCCTGGAAGGCCGCAAAGTAGAGAGGGCTTCCTCCCCGACAAGAAAGCCATGTTTGAGCAGAGCTGTTTATAACTCTTCATCTTTGGGGCTACTGGAGACTCCCCTGGGCCCTTGTGCCTTACCTGTATGACAGATGCACAGCCTAAGTTTATACTTAAAGACTGAGGATCACATTCTATGCTGATTTCCCATCTTTCAGGGGCCAGCCCCAGACTGATTTGTGTCCTAATTAACATTCGGTTCAAATCTCCGGCCATGGCCCAACTTTCTCACTTCAGGAGTGGGAACAGAGGCCCAGTCTTTAGCGTCAGTGCTCAAAGCTGCTGTTGGTTAAATCGGAGCATGCCGGGCACTGTGTTAAGAGACTAAATGTTGATCTTATCTATATTGTCTGAACACATCACACATGAGACATTGGAAACATCCTCTTTAATATGTAAGGAGAGTGAGGCCAAATAATTTAGCCAAGCCACTCAACTTAGTGGTAGCTCTAGGGGTGGTTCCCAATTGGCTGGACTCAGTCTTGGCTTGGATCCAGGTCCATGACCAGATGTTGGCTAATGAGAAAGTACTAGTCACAAGACTTGCAAGGGAGGCATTTGGAGATTTCTTTTGTCTTAGGTGGTTTGGTTGGAGGATGGGGAATCAGATCTGCTGAAGCCATTTTTCTCACACCATCGAAGCTGCAGCTCTCGGAGGGAGGTGCAATATAGGACCATGTGCAGCCAACATCTTGGGTCTTTGGAACCATAGTGTGAGCTGGGCTAAATGCACACACACACACTGCCTCTATTGTTTAAGCTTGTTTGAGTTGGGTTTTCCAGGATTTTCAGATGAACACCTAACACCCACACTACTGGTGATATTCCCAGAAGAGCCAGATCTGCCCATTGTTCTGCCCTTTAAGAGGGATCATGGGAAAGGCCAACAGGGAAGCTAGGAGGCCATTAAAAGCAAGCATGGCAGGCAGCCATATTCGATGGTTGCCACTTGTTCCACTGACTGTTCAAGGGGCTGCTTCAGCCTGGTCACAGGATGGCCTCACCTGTTCCCTCTATAACCACTTTGCCTGACCACCCCAGGTCCAGGCTCTGTCCACCGCTCTCCATAGTCTCCGATCCTGCCTGACCCAGTCCAGTTCTGCCCTAGGCCCTAGCACTGGTTAGGATTAGGGTTGACTGCGGCAAACAATGTTCAAAGCAATAGTGATATGAACAAGACAGAAGACCATTTCTGCATAAAAGATGTTCAAAAAAATCTTTAAAATCACATTATTTATGTGTATGTATGTGTGTGTGTGTGCATGCACACGTGTACACCACTATATGTATGTGAGTATCAGAATACAACTTATGGGAGTCTGTTCTCTCCTTTCACTACGTGGATCCTGGGGTTCAAACTCAGGTTGTCAGACTTGGCAGTAAGTATCTTTACCCATGGAGCCATCTTCCCAGCTCCCGGTACTCTCTTTTTAGCAGTTTTTAGGGATAGGGTCTTCCTATGTAGCTCAGGATGGCCTTGAACTCACCATGTTTCTGCCTCAGCTTCCTGAAGGCTGGGAATCACAGAAATGTGTTACCACTCCCAGTTCCACAAAACAGTTCTGAAGGCGAAGGACCAGGGCTGCTACAGCAGTGAAGCTCTACAAATCGTCGTTTGTACCTTTACTCCTTTGACATTGATCCTGCTTGCCAGAGACTCGTGTACTTTGTTTCTGTTTTTGTTTGTTTGTTTTTTTATGACAGGATCTCATGTAGCCAGGCTGGTCTTAAAATCACTTATCTTCTTGCCTTAACCTCATGAGTCCCAGGATCACGGGCATGAGCCACGATGCCTGATTCTATTTCACCATCTTTTGAAGAATTAGCTTTTTAGTTTTGCTGATATTTGTTATGCTCATTTTCTAGTCCACTAATCACTGTACTCTTTTTTTTTCTAGTACTTCTTTTCTTCTACATTATTTAAATGTTTTTCTGATTTATACATAGTGCACAGTGAAGTTTTACAAATAGTCCAGGAGAAAAATGTGGGTTACAGATGGTCAATTTCCTTGCTCCATTACATATGATTCTTCTACATTTTTAAATACACTTTTCACCATGAAGTAGGTTTTATCTGATATTGGTATCACTCTTTGTGCTGATCAGTGCTAATTGTCATCTTGACAGAGTCTAAGGTCACGTTGGAAGTGGGCCTTTGGGTGTGCCTGTTGGGGATTATTCCAGATTGGGATGTTGGACCGTATGAAATGGAGAGGGTGAGCTGAGCCTAGCCAAGTATTCATTGCTATTTCGTGACTGTAGAAGTGATGTGACAGCTGCTTCAAGTTCCCGTTGCCTTGACTTCCCCACCCCAGTGGGCTGTATCTTGAGCTGTGAGTTAAGAGTGAAGCTTGACTCCTTTTCAGTTGCTTTTGTCAGAATATTCTATCACAGCCGCAAGGAAAGAACCCAGGCAGTGTGCCGGCTTCCCTTCACTTATCATGATACAACTATTTCACCGTTTTTTTCTTCACCCCTCTGGGGGCCATGTATTTTCATGAATCTCTTGTAAACAGTGTTACAGGGAGATCTGAAACCTTCAGTTTGAACATCTCTGTCTAGATTGACTGTTATAGTCACCATGGTATCTATTCTATTTGGTTATCTGGGAGGATCTTAAGTGCTGTATGGCAAATGTGTTGCTCTGATTGGTCAATAAATAAAACACTGATTGGCCATTGGCTAGGCAGGAAGTGTAGGCGGGACAAGGAGGAGAATAGAGCTGGGAAGTGGAAGGCTGAGTCAGAGAGACATCACCAGCCGCCACGATGACAAACAGCATGTGCAGATGCCGGTAAGCCACGAGCCATGTGGCAAGGTATAGATTAATGGAAATGGATTAATTTAAGCTGTAAGAACAGTTAGCAAGAAGCCTGCCACGGCCATACAGTTTGTAACCAATATAAGTCTCTGTGTTTACTTGGCAGGTGAGAGAGATTTGCCCTGACTGTGGGCCAGGCAGGAAAACTCTAGCTACAGTGCATCTTGGTTTTTTGTTTGTTTGTTTGTTTGTTTTTAGGACAGTCTTGCTGGGTATAGAATTCTCGGTTGATAGCCCCTTGCATAGGCCCTTTTTTTTTTTGGTTTTTCGAGACAGGGTTTCTCTGTGTAGCTTTGCGCCTTTCCTGGAACTCACTTGGTAGTCCAGGCTGGCCTCGAACTCACAGAGATCCGCCTGGCTCTGCCTCCCGAGTGCTGGGATTAAAGGCGTGCGCCACCACCGCCCGGCGCATAGGCCCTTTTTGCTTTCAAGAGTCTGTCTCTCAACAGTCTCTGGGGATAGGTGGCACAACATAGTGACTCTGGAACTCAGTTCAGCCTCTTCTTGGAGAATTCATTGGTTGGAGCTGCCGTTTGTTGAGTTGACTTTGTTGACGTCATTGTATGAAGTCTATGTCCCCTGTAGTATGCAGTCATAGAAAGTCTCTGGTCAGTCTAGTGATTGTTTAGACATTTCCCACCCCTGTATACACAAAATAAGTAAATGTAAAGTACTAAAGGTACAGTTAGGACCACCTTCTTCCTCTTATATCTCTCTCTGTCCCCATAGACAGTGTTCTCAAGTCAATTGATATCTTTTATGTTCATGCGCTAGGTCACTTTCTACAAAAACAACAGGTATCCTGGATGGTACTGGTGCATACCTTTAATCCCAGCACTCAGGAGGCAGAGGCAGATGGATCTCTATGAGTTCCAGGACAGCCAGAGCTGTTACACAGAGAAACTGTCTCAAAAAAACTAAAGCAAGCAAGTAAACAAACAAAAAACCTAGGCCATTTTGTGTGTTTCAAAATGCATACTAATTGTATCATTGTAATTATGTTTCTGCAATTTTTGTGTTGTTGACCAAAATGTCTTCCATGTAGCTCCATTAAGCTCTAATATATTCATTTTGCACTATGCAGAGCCGAATTAATCAGTCTTTCCCATTGTTGTAACAACATCTCTAAAGTCTGGGGAAGAAATTTATTTAGCTCGCAGTTCTTGGGGTTTGAGGGCACAATGCTGGCGTCCACTCACCTGGGATCAAGGCTGTTTCTGTGTGGAATTACGGTAAACCTCTCCTTGCTCTGAAGCACAAACTTCCTTCAGGGCTGCTGAGTCCGGCAGATATTTTAGGGGGGGATGGGGTAGGAGAATGAGACAAAGTTTCTTTTCATAGCCCAGGCTGTTCTGCAACTCTCTATGTAGACCAGGCTAGCCTCAAACTCACAGAGATCTGCTTGCCTCTGACTGAGTGCTGGGATTAAAGGCACGTGTCATATGCTAGGCTTCGGGTAGGCATTTTTGTGGGAAGTGATCATCTGAGATTTGTGATAGTTTGGACAGAGGCAGTGGAGAATTTGGCCTTTTCTTTGTGAAAGTACAAAAGATACTCATACACACAAAATGAATACAGAAAATAAGTTTTAAAAAGAAGATATTCAAAGAAGACACCGAAAAGCTCCTGGGAGGCACACCCATCCACACATCAACGCCTTTGCAGTTTGTAGCTTGTTCTTAGCTGGTCTCTGAGGCAGTTTTCATGGTGCCTCTCTTGCTCACACCTGGTCCCTATTACTGTATCTGCCTGAAAGTAATAAAGCTGCCTTTCTCCAAAAGCTCTGTGACGAGCAGGAATTCACTGTGGCCTGGCCTTAGGTTGTCCAGACCAGCTTGCCTGACAGTTTCATGGGCTCCCCATTATCTATAGCCCTGCAGGGAGGCACATTCTGTCCAGACAGAAGCAATCCATGGGCCTATCAACTGAACGTGGGGTTAGGAGTCAGTGTATAACTACGTCCAGACAGAAGCAATCTGTGGACCTATCAACTGAACATGGGGTTAGGAGCCAGTGTGTACCTCCCTAGGCAGACACATCTATTTCGCCCACTTAGTGGCAACCTGTCATCTGTCCCCAGGAAGCAAGTATATTCACACTGGGCACAAGTGAAAGTGTCCACAATTGCCCAGGACCCTAGGTAAAAGCCCCACTCCTTAGTTCATATAGGAGGCCTGGAAGGATCTTGGAGTTTGGGATCCTTGGGGGCATGTGAGACTTTCATGGAGAGTGTGTGTTTCTTTTCTTCTGACTGACAGGTGGAGAGGGATCTGCCTCTACCTTAAAAAAAAAGATGACATTTCATGTGGCCTAGGCTGGCTTTAAATTCACTATGTAGTTAAGGATGACTTTGAACTTTGAACTCTGATCCTCCTGCCTCCACTTCCCTGAGATGGACACGCTTTTACTCCCCCATCCCAACCCCCAGAACTTGGACTCCTTGTTGGTCAGAATCCAAGTCTGCTGGTACCGGGTTCTCCTCTGCGCTGCTCTGGACCCTTCCGTCATCCGCTCCTTCTCCAGCTGTGTCTGTGGTGGCACCGAGGTCCCTTGTTTTCCCTTGGGTATCAGGGAGACCTCCATTTCCCTGCAGCTGTGTGGTGTGATGCTCCCTGACAGCAGGCCTGTGTGCCTGATCCTGACATAGTGGTTGTTAGCATTAGGTTTAGCTGTGTTCAGAGGCCGAATATCAGGAAACAGGCCTTCCTGAAAGGGCCTCCCCCAGTCAGACTGGTACCCTGAGTCGCCAGGCCACTTCCCTTAGGCCAGTATTTCTGCAGTTGTCCAACCTGGTCTCCCTTGCTGATCTGCCTGTCCCTCTCCATTCCCTGGTTCCTTTAAGATGGCCGAGCCGTACTCCTGACCTCCCAGGGATCCTCCCTCCTTAACGGAAACAGGTACATGGAGGCCAACACTCTCCCTCTCCTGCCTCTGCCCTGGCGTCAAAGATAGAAAGGGCAGGAAGGTGGAGGGAGAGAGACCGGAGAAAAATAAGAAGATAGATGAAAGGCGGAGAAGGAAGGGAGACAGGAGGGAAAGAGGGGGGGGAGCAGAAGAGTAAGAAGGAGAAAAAGAAAGGGAGGAAAGCCGCCAGTCCTTCCCAGGGCTACCACGTCTGTTTCTGTGAGGGCCAGCACACGCCAGGCCCACAGTGAGTGTGCCACACAATGTGTGTCCTGTGCCCACCGATCTGACCTGCCTGTTCGTTTCCTAGCGGGAGCAGGAAACCCGCCTGCCACACCGGCTTCCCCTAGCTTGGCTGGTCTCGGGGCCCACACCCTGCCTGAGAGGTAAACAGCAATCTCACCAAGACAAAATGTGGATTGCTCCGCCCCGGGCTTGGATTCACTTCTAGGTCTGGGAACAGACAAGATTCCCATCAAGAGCTCTGTCTAGGAGAGAAGAGAGTGAAGAGGTTTAACCTGAACAGCAGATCTGCTGCCTGGAAACACAAACAAATAATGAGTGTGTTAATGACTAACGAGGAGAGGTTTACAGGCTTTGAACACTTGTCAGTCAGCTTTGGAATCTCTCCAAGGCCTGTGAGATAAGACAAGCGTTCTTCCTGTCCCGAATCTTAGGGAGGTAAGCAGGAATGGAGGACGTTCGGGGAAGTATCCAACTTTACACTCATGCTCACTGCCCAGTGAGAATCCCCTCCTCCTGAGCAGGACTGCCGTTGAGTGCCTTGCCCACTCATTCCGGGTGGCCCTGGGCAACTAACAAAGCTGGCCATGGTTTGACATGTCTGCTTACTCTCTTCATACTCCAGGATGGCCCTAACAGTTTGACTGCACTCAGGTCCCAGATGGTTCCTCACACTGGCTCTAGACAGGTCTCAAGGCCTGAAAGTCATCCTGCTGGTGATTGGGGACAGGGCAGGAGCAATGGCCTTGGAAAAAGAGCACCCCGGGGAACTCCAGATTAAGTCCTCTGCTTGTGATCCACATTTCCTTCAGTTATAAAAGGGGCGGGGGCAGCCACAAGAGGAATGATAGTCTTGATTTCTGAGCTGGGCGTGGTGCTCAATCATATAAGTGGTGTAGGAATTGTACGTGGCGGGACCCCCAAAAGCGGCAATGGGGTGGCGGGCGGCCCAGTCCATGCCGGCATGACAGTGGGGGCGGCAGGTGGAGATACACAACCCAGACGCTGCATCCGTGTGGAAATGATTTATTATAGTAGAGAGATGAAGAAGGAGAGAGAGAGACAGAGACAGAGGCAAGGGGTTCGAGAGGTGCACACCTGTGGGAGAAAAGCTAAAGAGAAGAAGGGAAGGGGCTGAGTTTCCCTTAAGAACAGGACATAGGGTGGCGCCAAGGGGCAGGATCAGAATATTAACAAGCACGGCACTTGGAAGGCTGAGAGGCTGAGGCAGGAGAATTGCTACAAGTTTGAGACTAGCCTGTGCTACAGGGTGAATCTCAGAGGAGCCTAAAATGCAGAGTGAGGCCTTGCCACAAACAAACAAACAAACAAAAAATGAAATCAAAACAAGACACCCCTCCCCCAAAGCCCCTGGTCATCCCCACCACCATCCCTGTGGTCTTAGTTTCTCAGGCCTCCTGTGAGTCAGCAAGCCTCCAGAGCATCCTTCATCTGTGCGGCCACCAGGGAGAGACTGTGCAGGGGAGGGGAGGGCTGAGACAAAAGCACAGGACAAAGGGGCTAGAAGCGGGGTGTGTGTGTGGCTTCTAGCATGTTCTCCAACCGGATGTTTGTGAATACACCTTCAGCCCTTTCCGTTTTCACTGTTCTGTACACTTAACCCAAGATGGCCCCGGCCAGTCTTCCAGGTAAGGGAGCTGAAGCCTCGGGGAAGGGGCAGGAGTGGGTGCTCCGTCTGCCCTGGGTGCTGGTGGATACACCCCACGGGGGCTGTGTTGTTATACTCACTGGCTGCTAAGGGGGCCTGGGGCTCAGACAAAGAGTCGTTAGCATGAGGCCACACAGAGCAGATTTTTGTGGTCAGGTGTGTCTGTCTCAGCCCCACCGTCTGGAAGTTGTGGGACCTCTCACTGACTGAGTAAAGGTGCTTGCCACCAAGCCCGACGGTCTGAGTTCAATTCCCGGACCCATGTGGTGGGAAGGAGAGAACCTGACCTCCACGTGTGCACTGTGGTATCTCTCTCCCTAGAAATTAATGAATTGGAAAGTAAAAATCAAAAACAACCTTACTGTAGTTCTGTTCCACCTGGGGACAGGACCAGTGTGGCCTGTTTGTTTCTGGACTCCCAGGACCAGGGTGCTTTGGCCCATACACCCTTTGTTCTGCTCAATGGCATCAGAGGACACTGAATTGGGGGACAATGGCTGTGGCCCCCAGGGAACAGCTCCCATCAACTGAGTGCATCAACCCTCACACCGCCTCTGCTATCCTCCGCTGCTCCAGACGGGCACAGCGGATGCTCCTGTAGGCGCCCTTGGCTCTGTCACTTACTTGGGAGGCTGGGTCTCTCTGGAGCAGGCCTCGGTGGGGCTGCTGATCTCGTGGTGGGTGTCATGCTTGGTGCTCCCACTTTTTTGTGTGTCTGGCCCTGGACAAAGGGATGTAGCTGGTCCACAGGTCAATGCGGGGCTCTTGACTCTCTGCCTCCTGGAGCTCTGGCCTCTTAGTGCTAAGTAAGCGTGAAGCTTGGCAGGAAGCATGGCCAGATCAATCTTTGTTAGCCCCACTAAACTGTTGGTTTGGTGGTTTTGATTTTTATTGTTGTTATTATTATTGTTTTGCCTTTTTATTTATGTATGTATTAAGACAGGATCTCACTGCGTAGCCCAGGCTGGCCTGGAACACATTATCCTCTTTCCTAAGCCATGTTGGGATTACAAGCCTACACCACCATGCTTGACTGACCACCAAGGTTTTCTTTCTCCTGCTCCCCAACTTTCCCACTTTCCTGCTTCCGGGGAGCCTTTGCTACACTGATCCCCCCTGGAGGGGACTCCTGATTGCCTCTGGGCCAGCCCCTGCTCAGACCTCAGATCTCAGTTTTGAATCAGGCACTTCCACAGCCAGACCAGGGCCCTTTCCTGTTCCACTCCTGGTGTCCTGACCGTCGGAGTTCAGACAGCCGCATCCCTAGTCCCTCACATCTCTCTGGTTTCTCCTACCACCCACAAGGTGGATGTTAAGTATGGCTTCTTTGCATTAGCACCTAGGCAGAGGGTCCATCAGAGGGGCAGCGCTATTTACAACTTTGGAAAAGACGGAGATGGAGTGGGGGTGGGGCAGGTCACCGGGTCACCAGGTGCCCTCTGGGAGCTGTGGGCTGGGAGATTTAGCCAACCCCGAGGTCGGGACTCTCTTGCCAGGACAGCTTTGCTCTCCCCGGTGGTTTTCATTATTTTTCATTCCCAGACTATTTTGGAAGCTGGCTGCCATGGGAACTGAGTCTTTGGAAGGCCCAGGCCTCTTTTTCCTCTTCCCCCCAACCCCCCTTCCATCTCTATTCCTTCTTAATTGGTTTTTAGTTCCCTGGCTTTCAGGCCGTCTGTTTATTTTGATTGCAACTCCACAGAACAAATCTTTAATGAACCAGCTTGTGGGGAGAGCCATTAGCAGCCGCCTGCCTCCAGGGAGTAGGGGAGGCGCCTGGCCTGGGTCCCAGCCTGGACTTCCACTCAGTGAGGCAGCGGTGGCCAGGTACTGGGTGGCAGCCTGTGCAGGGGCCCAGGCTTCCTTCAGGTATAGTCTGGAGATGGGAACAGTTTGCCCTCCATAAGCGTCAGCAGCATTCACTGAGATGACCTCAATTGTTCTCTGAAACAGAACGGAGGGGTTGGGCTTCCCAGTTCCCCTGAGTCATCCCAGGAACCCCAAAGGGGTATATTCTAAGCACCTCACTGTCCAGAAAGAGGAGTAAGGTTGAAGAACTGAGAATCCTGTTATCTGGCCAGCAAAGCTTGGTGGAAAGCACAGGTAAATGGAATAACCTCCTGAATGTCACTGAACTGGCAACCAATGGTCCAAACAGGACTCGGCAGGCCCCAGCCTTCTGGAGCGAATGCCTTTGTCTGTGCTGTCTGGGCCTGACACCTTTTATGGGTTTACTCCACTGCCTGGGTACTATCACTTCTGTCCAGAGAGTTCTGCAAACAGGAAACACATACAAATGTGTGTTGCTGTTAATGTGGGTGTGGAGTACAGAGTGATCCCCGAAAGCTTCCTCACCTTGGACGGGACGAGCCCTGTCTTCAGTCGACCTCACAGGCCTGATCAGCTGTCTGTTTCTCACTGACCTCATTCTGCCCATGCCACTCATCTCAGGAGCAGAGACCCGGGGGTCACAGGGACAGGGAGCTCCCTTCCTTTAAGATCAGGCCCCTGGACCTTCAGACTTGGGACTGCCTCTCTGAGAAACTCTGGCACCCTGAGAAACTTCAGCCTGTGCTCCATGCCTGCCTTCTGTCCAAGAGGTCTTCTTTTCCTGCTTTAGACCATGAACCCATGCAATTCCCTTGAACAGGAGACTCCCCTGCCTGCCTGCCTTCTCTGGTCCACAAGAGCCATGGATCCTCTCCTGCCTGGGATCCTGTGCTTCCTAAGAGAGCAAGGAGGAAGACAAAAGCTGACCCTGGAGGACTACAGAGTGCCTGCTGACCCTGAGAACAGCTAACTAGGCAGGCCCTAGGATGGACATGTCTCTGGACCTCTGGTTACTTCTCATCATCCATCTCCTTATTTAAATCACTGGCTCTTGATTTTGTTTGTTTGTGTGTTGTCTGTTTGTTTTGGTTAATTTTGTCTACCTGCCTTGCCTTGGGTTTTATGGCTGTGCCAAGCTGTGCTTGTGCCAAGAAGAAATAGGCATTCAGGGCTACCATGTAATGATTTGGAAGTCATGTTTGGTTAATTAAGCTCACGTTGTAGAAGCCTGGACGTAGGTGATCTGGTTAGATGTAACTGCTCTTACGAGTCACTAACAATTAAGACTCCTGCTGTCCTTGACTTTGTTCTCATGACCATAAATGGCCTCATCACTGTCAGGCATCACATTTGAGTTCCAGGCCTGAAGAATGGGAGAAGGGAGAACAGTTTACATCAGCCAAATCTGTACTTTTATCAAGAAAACATGACCTTTCCAAGAGTCCCGCCATAAAATTCTTTGTACTCCTGACTGGTCAGAAATAGGTTGTGTCTTGGCTAGAATTGGGGGGGGGGGGGATTAGGCAGAGCAATTTTGCAGAGGGTTTTATTAAGAGATGAGAGAGGGGAGAAATGCATACTGGAAAGAAGGAATGGTCTTCCATGACAGGATTGGCATCAGCAAGGCATACAAGGCAGGAGTAAGCCCAGTGAGTATGGCTTCCTTCTCCGAACATCCAGAGGCTGCTCTGGGTCACCTTCTCCTCCCACAGACCCCTCAACAGTCAACCATCATGCCTGCGCTACAGCGTGAGTTTCTTGCCAGAATCTCCCCGAGTGTGAAAGATGCAGGCTGATGCCCTCGTATCCTGCCTCCCAGATGAGGTTGCAAAGCACATCTGCTCTGATTCATCCTCTGTGTGCACCCTCCGAGTTAGAATATCTCTGATTCTTCTGCTGGTAGAAACTGTCATCATCTTTGGGGACATCTCGTTCCCCAAGATGACTCCGCTGTTCTGGACCTTCACTGCTCTAGGCTTTCAACTTGTCCCACTCAAACTCATCATTTGTCACGTGTCAATCACTTCACAATGAAAGGTCCCTGCAGGCTGACGGCACACCCTTGCATCTGTACACTCATGTCTTACACGCAGGGAAGATGCTGGGTACGTGCCACGCCACTCTGGCAATCGCCGTCTAGGTGCTGTGGGAGTGCCCTGGAAATATCAACAGATTTCAAAATACAGACTTGGGAATTTGCTTGCTATGATTTGAAAAATTCAAGGTCAATATTGAACCTCACTGGCCGGTAGACGACCTGCTCCTCCACGATGGATTTGCTGTGCTGTCCACCACAATGTCCTCCGACAGTAAAGCATCTTGGGACCTGCAGGGACTGAAAAAAACAAACAAACAAACAAACAAAACCCACTTGTTGAAGATGACATTGGACAGCACCCTGGAACATCTCACTATGACCGCAATCTGACCTCTTGCCCTCCCCCAGACCCTGTACCACGGTCTGGAAGGAACTCTTCCCTTAGTCCTAACTCACAGATCCTCACATTTCTCAGAGGCCACCCAGTCCTCTCACTCTCTAGAGATCGGGATTCCAGGCTTGTCGCAACCATGTCACCAAGAACTCTCGTGCTCTCACGATGTGCTCTATTCCCCCATTGTCAGCGTTTCAAAGGGTCGACTACCACGCTCTAGAAACAAGAGAGGCCGGGGCGCTACACTCCTAGCAGCCCGGCCACGGAAGGAAGCAGGGGTAGGAAGGAGTCGGATGTGGGAAATGAACAGTGGGTCTGCTTGATGCTAAAGTCCTGTGGTTTCACATTCTATCATCTTCACGGCCCAAGTCCAACACGCGAGTTGCAGTGTGTGCACACCCAGAGATGATCCATATAGTAGGAGACCATCCCAGGGACCAGTGAGCCCCTTCTGGAGGATTCTCAGTCGTTACATGGTTTTATCTCTCCATTGCTACCTCCCCTAAGACAGAGAAATAGGCAAGAGGCCTCTGAGAAGAGGGTGTGATTTCTGGATCTGGGAATGCTGGGAGGGAGCTAACCTCCTCTTGGAGGCATTGCAGATGTAGCCCTCAGCATCTGTAACTCATTTCCCTTAAAAATGAACTTTACTGGGTAAGGATGGGGTGGGATGGAAAGAAATGGCTGGCCGCATGCCTCTGTATTTTTGAAACTTTTATTTTTTTTTAATATAGCATGCATTTAGTATGATGCACCAACTATAAGAGTAGATGTAGTTGAATTAAGTTTCATAAAAGGAACGAATTTGCATCTTACATCCAGCTCAAGAAACAGGATGTTGCCAGAGCCCCAGAAGCCCCCTTCCTGAGTCCTTCCAGTCCTTGTATCTCTCTGCCTAGGGGAACCATTACCTTGCACACAACAGTTTTGGCTGCCGGGTGCTTTACCCAAATGAAACCATATGCTATAGTCTTGCTTGTAACTGTTCAAAACTGTGTGGGTGAGATTCTTCCATGTCCTTGTGTGAGTTGTGGTTCCTACATTCTTATTGTTGTATAGTGTTTCACTTTATGGATATGTTGCAATTTCCCTATTTTACTCTGATGGGCATTTGAATTTTTTTCTAGTTCTTAGCTATGACAAATGGTGCTGCCATGAACGTTTGTAAGATATTTGTGTTGGGAATGGAATAACACTAACGGGGAAGGAATCTATTTAGTTTTGGTAGATAAAGGTAAGAAGTTTCGGGGCTGGAGAGATGGCTCAGCAGTTAAGAGCGCTGACTGTTCTTCCAGAGGACCCGGGTTTAATTCCCAGCCCCCATATGGCAGCTCACAACTGTCTGTAACTCCAAGATCTGATATATATGCGGGCAAAATACCAGCGCACACAAAAATAAATAATGTAAAATAAGGTAGGAAGTTTCTAAGGCAGTTGCACTAACTTATGTCCCAGCAGTATGTAAGGACTCTAGTTGTTCCAGATTCCTGTGGACACTTGGTATTGTCGGTGCTTTTATTTAGTCACTCAGTTTAGTAGTTGTGAAAGGGTAGCTCATCATGGCTTGGTTTTCACTTGTACTTCCTTCACAGGACTGTTGACCTTTGAACTGCCACCTCCAGGAAGGCAGAGAAAGGGTCAGAGGTCTCCGTGAAGGGGTGTGGCTTCTGGATCTAAGAACGCTGGGGATGTGCCACTTTGCTGCTTGAAGGCCAAACAGAAGGAGGGGGCCTGGGAGTGAGGGCTGCCATGATCCTGGGCCACATCTGCAGAGAGGCCGTGGGTTGTCAGCCCAGGGGAGGCGTGGGCCTTGGTTCTGATCCTTTCTAGTTTCCACAGCACTCTGGGCAGGGACGTCAACTTCTACCCGCGGCAAGTGGAAACAATAATGAGGACACAATGAGGGTTCACTAAGTGGCAGGGAGTGTGAACAGTGTCTGGGCCAGAGGTATGCAGAGATCAGTCCTCCACACCGCTGGGCCCGATGACTGACAGCTGACAGCGGTGGGGGAGGGGAAGCAGAACAAGGCCCGTCAATCAAGCAGACACAACAGCAGAATGCCCTGTGACTGGTGTGTCATTTTCATGCTGGGAACATTGTCTTGAGAAATGATGAGTCTCACTGGTGAGGTAGCACCTGCCTGCCCGTGATCCTAGCGTTCGGTAGGCAGAGGTAGGAGGAGTAACACAGGATCAAGGGTAGCCTGGTCTGTATAATGAGTTTCAGGCCCGCCAGGGCTACATACCAACACCCTGTCTCCAAAAGCAAAATAGAACAGAAAAGAAATAGCCAGTTTCAAGTTAGGCCTGATGGCCCAGGCCTGTAGTTCCAGCTCCTTGTGAGGCTGAGGCAGAAGCATCACAAATGTAAGGTTTGACAGGTCTACAGAGTGAGTTCCAGGCAGTCTCAGCTTACCTCCAAATCAAGAGGTAAAAAGAGAGTTGGGATACAGCTCGGTGGTAGGGTGCTTGTCTGGTGTCTATGAGGTCTTGAGTTTCATCCTCAGGAATGGGAAGAAAGAAAAAGGAGGAGGAGGAGAAAAAGGAAGAGGAAGGAGGAGGAGGAGGAGGAGGAGGAGGAGGAGGGGGAAGAGGAAGAATAAGAAGAAAAGGAAGAAGGAGGGGGAGAAGAATCCCCCCAAAGGATGCTAAGTAAAAACTGATCATGCTAGACATGTATCTCAGTGATAGAGTGCTTGCCTAGCATGTGGGAGCCTTGGCTTTATTTTCAGTATCAGGAAGGAAAGAGGAAGAGAGGGAGGGAGGGAGGGAGGGAGGGAGAATGAATTGTGAGTTTAATCTTCTTTCCCCGCTGCACAGTGCAGCAGGAAAAGTCAGTTTGATGACGGCCGTGGCAGCTTTCTCCAAATGAGCAAGGGCTTGCCACAGTTTGCATGGGATTCACCTTCATTCAACTTCATTCTCTCCTTTCTTTTTTTTTGTTTGTTTGTTTCTGTTTTTTAGGACAGGGTCTTACTGTGCAGTCCAGGCTGGCCTCCAACTCTAAATCCTCCTGCCCTCAGGAGGACCCTCCGGAGTGCTAGGAATCCAAATGTGTGTCGCCATGTCTGGCTTCTGTTTTGTGATCTGTGTTTGTCCATAGAAGGAGGCACGCTGACCATTAATTAAGGCTGTGGTCAAAGCCAGTCACAAAGAATGACAAGTAAAGGTCCTGCTCATCTGGTGGTCTTCAGAAGATGCACTTTAGCTGCAGATCACCATCTGGAAATATTACAAGTTTTCCTCCATCCTGGCGTTGAGCTCCTAAGAGCTGGTTTGGGAGGTCTCTTAATCAGTGTCCTAGTGCTGTGAAGAGACACCATGACCACAGCAACTCCTATAAAGGACAACATTTAACTGGAGCTGGCTTACAGTTTCAGAGGTTTAATCCACTGTCATCATGGTAGGGAGCATGGGAGAGTGAACGTAGGCATGGACCTAGAGAGGTAGCTGAGAGTTCTACCTTTGGATTCAGATCTGCAGGCAGCAGGGAGAGAGAGACAGAGACGAGAGAGAGCCAATGGGACTGGCTTGAGCTTCTGAAACTTCAAAGCCCACCCCTAGTGACACACTTCCTCCAACAAGGCCACGCCTCCTAATCCTTCTAAGTAATGCCACTCCCTAATGACCAAGCATTCAAATCTATGAGCCTATGGGGGCCATTCCTATTCAAACCACCACAGAAGACAGACAGGCGAACACACACCCATGTTGCTGAGGACTGGAGTGGAGATGGCCAGGAAGTAGGAGGGAGGAAGAAACTTCAGGGGAAGCTTCACCAGAGGTCACACGTCCCTCTATAGAGTTGTCCTCACAGTAATATTCTCTTATTTATTTGACTGTTTATCGGTATGTGTCGTGTGCTATGTGTGGGGTACGTGTGTTGAGTTGTGTATATTCTTGTGTGCACCTGTGCATGGGGAGGCTTGAAGTAGATGTTGCCAGTCTTTCCTAGATCACTGCCTACCTTTGTTTCTTGAGACAGGGTCTCTCGTTGAGCCTGAATATCATGGACTGGGCTAGGCTGGCTGGCCAATGAACTTTGGGGGAATCTGTGGGGTTTTTTTTGTTTTGTTTTGTTTTGTTTTTACCTTCCCTCCACCCTCTGCCTTCCCAGCACCAGGATTACAGGCATGCATTGCCTTGCTTGGCTTTTTACATGGGTTCTGGGGATCTGAACTTAGAGCCTTGCGCTTACACAGCAGTTGTTTTACTGAGGGAGCCGTCTCCCCAGCCCTACAACATGAGTCTTCTACACATCTCACAAACCAGCACCGTTCCACAAAGAATAGTCTAGAATTACAAGTACTTCCTTTGTGAGGACTTTCAATAAGTCCAGATGGACTGACAGTGTCCATCTGGAGAGACCTTGGACCCGGGGTCACCAGACTTTTTCAGTGAAGGGCCAGATTTTCAATAGTTTAGGCATTGTGGACCGCATGCTCTCTTCCTAACATTGAACTCTGCCACCCTGGTGTGAAGTATCAACATGCAGTTCTAAGAAAATAGGCCTGATGCTTGCGGGCCAGTGAGCCTTATTTACTGAAGAGGACCTGAGCCAGGATTGACCTGGAGGCTGATGCTAATGGAACCCTGCGCTAGAACACACCTCACCTGACGATGATGGTGATGATGACGACGACAATGACATCACCTTGCCAAAACAGCCAAGGTGAGGTATGGACAGATGTCAAGACCTCAAGGCCAGCTGCAAACCTCCACTTCATTCCATACAGTTGTCCGCTATGACATGACCACGCTCTCTTATTTTTGTTTTTGTTTGCATGTTTATTTCAGATTTGCTGAAGATGCTTTTTTGTTTGAAATCATAAGAGAGCCATTCGGCTTCATGTTTCCTACTAGGAAAGCTCTGGTTGCCGCTCCAGTGACTCATCTGTTTCTTTTGCAGACATGGTCACTCCACAAGACACTGATGCCTGCTCAGTGTGTCCTCCGCCCACCCACCTCCCAAGTTCGAGGCAATGGAGAAAGAACAAACTATTCCCTAGTAAGGTTGGCGGAACTTTCATATGTGCTTCAGTATCTCTGGCCCCAAGCCCTGCCCTCGACCTTGGAGCAGTAAGATAAACTCCCCTCCAGAGGTCTGTCTCTCTCTATGAATTGGTACCCAGCCTACCTAGTTCTCAGGCTATCATCTCGGGATGCTAGGATCTGCCTTGTTAGAAGCAGATATACCCAAATACTTCGAAGTATTCAACCTACAGGCCAGTCTTATTTCCAACATTTTCATCAATTCCTAGCCTTTGATTGGTGATGAATGCACTCTCTCTCTCTCTCTCTCTCTCTCTCTCTCTCTCTCTCTCTCTCTCTCTCTGTGTGTGTGTGTGTGTGTGTGTGTGTGTGTGTGTGTGTGTTGAAACAGGATCTCTCTGTGTAAGCCTGGTTGTCCTAGAACTCATTGTGTAGACCAGGCTGGCCTCAAACTCACAGAGATTTGCCTTCTTCTGCCTCCAATGGATTAAAGGTTATGCACCTCCATATCCAGCTTGACTTATATTTTTAAATAAAATATTGTTTTGTCAGAATGTGGAAACAGTCTTTCTTCTGTTTTAGGATGTAAGGGGTTAAAAAATACTGTACAAATATCACATAAGTTGCTTGAAAAGGCATTGTCTACTCTCTACATAAGATCAGAATTCTTGCTACTGTGGTGTTCAAAAGAAATGGTATCCAGAAGCCCAAAGTTGATTTTGGAGTCCAGAATAAGACTCTGTTGAGAGTCATTGGGTGTCCCAGGTCATCAAGCAGTTCTAAGAGAGAAGGGTCACTCACCAACAGAGTCCCCTCGCCCACCTCTGCTGTGGGGAATTAGCTTTGGTACTCTCAGACTTATTGACCCCTAAGTAACTCTTCTAAATCCAGATAATCCTCTGAAGATCAATCCACGCACCCATCACCATCAGCCCGTCAAAGCCTGACAGGCTCCAGGGCTGGGAGGGAGGGAGGCTGGGCGGCTTTCGCCTGATTCCCCGTCCACTGTTCAGAATGATCTTCCAGCCCTGGTGTGGAGCAGTCTGGTAGGGGGGCCCGGCCTGAGTCACAGGGCTCTCTTTTCCTTTGCACACTGGGTCTGTTGGAGGAAAAAGCTAATTTACTTAGAATCGGCCTGGACCAACATTTGCTTTGTTCTTTCTGGGTCTGCTCTGCTTTGCAAAGGTACCCCAGAGGGGATGCTAAACGTGGCACCCGGGTAATGCGATGGTAATGGAAACAGATGCTGGAGGATCAACCCCAGAGAACTTGAAGCCCGTTCCCAGACAGCCTGGACTGCAGGGTAGATCAACAGAGACAAACATAATCCCTGTCCTCACAGAGACCTGCCCACCAGGCTTTAGCCAAAGCCACTGTGCTTTTCCTCTGTTCCTGGAGAATTTTGACAAAACAGCCCCGAGCCCTAGGAGGGAGGAGGGCAGAAGGTCCCACTACAAACGGATGGGGGACTTCAGAAGTCTGGTGAGCTCTGCATCTGAAGGGACTGAGCAGGCCGCAATGAGGAACAGGCCTTGTGAGGGAATCACGACCATCCTGTCTCTAGAGTCGAAGGGAAAAAGAAAACAATTCATTTGACCTGATCCCTTCTCCATATAATAATGAGCACTGGGAAACAGAGTGATAAGACCCACCCACGTCAGACACAGCTGGGACATTTCAGGGGTACAACTCCCAGAGTCCAGACTAACCCTCTTCTCAGAGAATACAGTCTGGCAGAGGTGAGGTATGAAGGTTTGTGATTCATTCATTATTTATTCATTCATTCGTTCATTCACGTGTTTACTGAATAGCAGCTGTAGGCCTGTGTAAGAACTGTGGGAAACTCAGGAGAAACACACTATCTGATTATTGTACTCCAGGAACTTAAATTCTAAATGCCATTGCATGCACACAAATGTACACGTGCACACAACCCAGCGTACATGAACACATGCATACATACATACATGCAGACACATAACCAGAAACGGTTCCATTCTGATAGAGCTGTGGAGTCCCTCCCATAATGAACCGTGAGGGTAGGAAGTGTCACAAGTGACTAAAGTTGAGGAACGGGTGTGTACTGGGTGGGTGCGTAGGGGTCAAGTGTTGTGTTTCTCAAAGCACTTCCTGCCTAGCATCTCAGCCAACTTCTCACCCTGAGCTCCAACGATGGTCTTTTTAGGGTGCTGTCTGCCCAGATCCCCCAGCCTGGACTTGCATGATACTAGTCATCTGGGGATTGAAGTCAATAGGTTTAACTTGAAGCAGGCCTGGAGGAGAGAACAGAGATGCCACCACCTCTTCCTGGTCTTCAAGAAGTCAAGCCATCTAGAGCCCGGGGGCTGTTCTTCCTCCCGGGGTTTCAGGTTATGGGACACTTCTGGAGGATCTGTGATCTGTAACTATCACCAGTCTCCAGGCTGTGCCAGGAGTGGAGGGCTGTGTGTCCAGGGTTGGGTTTCCCTAAGGCAGAGCCCTGAGGAGGCCCTTCCCGTCACCTGTGGAATCGTGGCTCTTCAAGGTTTC